AGAGAAATAATCATAGGCCATAAAAACTCTGCGTAGCAGTCCAGGCACGGAGGCAGTTAAACTATATCTAGATAATATTGTTGACTCTTCCAAAATTTTTCAATAAAATGCCGTATTAATAAAACTGACTGATTTAATCATGTATCCATCCATCAATTTATACCTTAAAGTTGTATTTAATAAAATTCCTACCAACAAAATGTCCGTTAGATATACTAGTTCCTTATAAGTTTAAATCGAACTTTTGATTTTTAAATCCCTGCCTTTTAATTCCCGCCATTTTTAGTAAGTTAGAAAATATACGCAAAAAAATATTAGGACCAATCACAATAAAAGCGTCATCTATATGAGTAATTTTTTATGTTGTTTTTTTCTATCTAATTTCGGTGGCAATTTTAATTATTAAAATGTTCTAGAATATTCTCATGAAGTATTATTTAATATTCAGGTATGATATCCTCAAATATTATTTAATATTTCACGATAATGTAAACAAATACATAAATAATAAAAATTGCCACAAGAATTAGAATATTATATTCTAATTTCTAATTCAAAAAGATAGAATTATTTACAGAAAACTAACCAAAAAATTACCCATAATAGTAACGTTTTGGAAATCTAATATTATCAACTAATAAACTTTTAAATAAATATTTGCAATAAGCTTATAAACTTTATAATATTCTACAAAATAATTCATGAAAATATTTTTTTCTATTTAACCCTTATGCATTTCTGATGTTGTAAATCAAGTCTATGTTTTATTGATAAAAATGGAAGTAAATTCCTTTGCTACTTCGCGAACCCAGCGATGGTTACATCGTGCAAAATAGCTATTTTTTGTTATAAATATTTTTTCATGCACTTAATTTTCGCATCCTCCCTCTGCATAAAATTAATAAAATAAATAACACTTATTACACTTTTAATCTTTGCCACTTAAAGCTCTGAGTGTTACTGCATTTGCTATGGAAAGGCGTGTCGCGTATCACCAGGCGCACGACTTGTAAAGAACAATACGCAACAAACACCATCATCAAAAAAGAAGGAATTTACTTCAATTTTTATTAACTTTTTATTTATTTGGCAATGCTTATAAACTATTGTTACAGGATATTGCCTACTGCGATAGTAAGCTACATATTAAATATCTGCCTATAACTAAATTAATCTATGATTATATATTCATAACATATAAACGTATAAACATAATAAAGTTACCCTTGGGTGTTCACTCAAAGAACAATAGAATATGTCTAAGCTATTGACCACCAAACTGAGAATGCGGCGCGTGTGTCAACGACGACGCCTTGTTCAGCAGGTTGGTCCTCCCAAGCAGGCACAATTGAATTACCGGACATGATTTTTCGCATATTCGTTATTTAAGTGGACATCGTACTACGAAATTCCTAAGGGTGTCGTCACACCAATCAGTCTATAATCAGTCTATAATTGATAGATGGTAGAATGAGATGAGTCAACGTCGATCGACTGTTGAATGAATGTAGTAGACATTAAATAGATCTGCTCGATTTGTCATTGGATGATTATCAACCTTCATTCGATACATTTTAGAAGTTCTTATATAAGAGAACCCACTATATGAACTATTAAATCCATCATCCAATCCAACTTAAATCGACAGTTGCATGAGTGATCGGTCGATATTCGTCGATAGGCCAATGTTACAAAATCAACCTATCAATGTCGACCGATGGCATCGATTCGCTATCGCTTAGTTTGTGCGGTAACACCGTAACGGTGCCACAGCCTGAGACTTTCCTCTTAAACAAACAATCAATAAGCTTAAACCACTTGATCCCCCTTTTCTTTTTATAATATCAAGTGACTGAACAAACAAATCTTGCGCGATGGTAAGCTACATGTCTGTCCATAACAATTAATGTACCACTCAGAGCTTCAAATTGCAAAGATCTGGGCGCTACTGCGTCTGTCACCCTGAGACATACCTAGAAAAGTCCCATGTGCCTGTAATTTCACCAGCACCCCTTCAAAACCGGAATACACTAATGCTGACATTACTGCTTGGCGGCAGAAATAGAAAAGAGAAGGAACTCTACTGCTACTAATGGATATCACTAAAGCATATGCTAATTGTCAAGTGCTTTAGTGATATCCATACACGATATTAATGGGAAGTATCTTTCAGTACATTTCGAAAATTATATACAAATTGTAATGAAACTAACCAACAAATATTATTCAAGATAATTTCAATTATGTATGACGGCCTTGGTTTGGCCTTTAAGTATATTTTAATATTCAAAAAGCAGAATATTGTATTAAGTTCTAAAATTCTTTAGAACTTCTGACTGTTTCGGAGCTCTTTAACAAATTACATCCCACATGGCTGAAATTATATCGTAAATGTTAAAACCCACTTACAATATACTTGAAATGATAAAGATATCTCTCATTAATCTAAGAAGAAGCAAAATTAAATTTAATTACCTTTCCAAATGGTGCCTTTCACTTTGTGAAGAATACTTGAGTAGGCGTGATGAATGATTGTGTTGTATTATATACTTAATACAAATAGCTAATAAAGTGTTTGAGAAGATACGCGTACACGTTTCCATAAATATACTTCTAAATTCAGTGTAGGTGTTGATGTTGAGCTTTTAAGGCAATAATAAAGTAATCACAACAAAGGGATATCTCTTTAAATATCATTATCTATAAATATGCTAAAGGATGGAAGAGAGTGAAACTATTTTTCCGGATTTAAATCGCGTATATTTGTTTTTTCAAACAAACCGATGTTTCGGGCCCTTTACAGGTCCCATGGTCACGGTTGACTACCGTAAATATACGCGATTTAAATCCGGAAAAATAGTTTCATTTCCTATGTGTAACAATCGCGAAAACCTAAGAACTCGATGGAAGAGAGTATTAGAGAGAAGTAAGGTAGGATTTGTATTTATAAAAATGTAGTTTAGGTAACTTTTTTTATTTTCTCTTTATGATATCGAGTGATGGGACAAATAAGTCGTTCGTTTAGTGGTAAGTGATACACAGCCTTCAGAACTGGAATACAGTACTTAATGCTTTTCTATGGACCACCTTTGAAGTCTGAAATAAAGTTATTTTATCCCCTTTCCATCATCGGGGGACTAGACGTAGGCATGGATTCCACCCCTAAATTGTGGATATTCCAAAGGTTCGCACGAAGCGTTACGCTTCCACATGCTATGGAGTGGAATTCCCTGTCTGCAGACTTGTTCCCTGGATGTTATAACTTGGACCTTTTCAATACGAGAGTGAATAGGTATTATTTAGGTGTGCATGCTCCATCGTCGACCTCATCGTCACTTTCCATCAGCTGAGATGGAGGTCAAATGCGCACTTACATTTGTATTTGTATTTTTTTTAGTGCTTACATTATTGCTTGGTGGCAAAATAATTAAGGTGATAATACTTCCCTGGAAGAACTCTTTCACAAGGTGCTTTGCTGAAACTTATAGATCACTGTAACACACAATGTTTTATATGATTTTTCGTCCGAAAACACAGATAAAGCAACCACTGGTGCAAAAATCACGAAACAATATGCCAGATTATTGATGTAAAAAAAAAACGAAAACAAATTAAACTTAAATAATTTCGTGACGAAAATGGTTTTAACTAGCGAGTAGATCACTTTCGAATACTAAAAATTGTGTTTCTTTTATTTATAAGGACGAACATTACTAAATTAAAAAAAATCTCTGAAACTACTTACATTTGGCAGAACAAAGGTCTCCGTCGCTGAATATCATATTCGTAAAGTATCATGTTCGTAAAACATGATATTCGCAAAACATGTTTACAAAATATCATTTTCCCAAGATGCCACGTTCTCAAGATAATTACATTCTCAAAATACCATATTCGCTAAACACCACATTACCAAAATAATATATTTAAATATCTTACCTATTGTTTTTTTTGTTTTCACTTGTAATTATTCAATCATAGCTATTAAGTTTATCCGGGGGTGGAGACCTGGTTATCTGAGATACAGGTTCTCCTAGTTCAGGGACCAGCCTCCACAACCGATTATATTTTGATGTTATGTAAAGCATCTATTTTTATTTTTACAAGCACTGTTTGTGGAGAGAATAAATGATTTATTTATTTATTTATTATTACTTATCTTATAATATACCTACAAACTTTTCTACGCGTTTGGATTAATTCAAACTATATCATTATGATGGATGTCTCAAAATAGGGTCTCATAAAACACTGTGCGTGATACATTCTGTTGAGTTTTAAATTTAATTATTCTTATAAATAAATAAGTGTATAAAAAATGTTCTATATAATATGGATATACTTACGTAATTTGGCTTTTCAGTACCTTTCTAGAGAAATATGAGGTATTATCCTTAACCTACCCAGCCATACGTAGAACCGAAAACAAAACCGCTGAAACTTATCCCACATCCAAATTGGGTGCGAATGGCCGGGTTGTTTGTTCATAAAGGCTCCTTTAGTTCAATTATATAAGACATAAATAATTATATATCTTCGTGTGGATGAAGACTAAAGTAATTTATAGTACCATTCTAATTCGGCTAATAATTAATTTTTAGTGCATTAAGAAGGTTAATATCGCACTAAAACTTAACTAAGCTGTGTCGTTTATTCGCAACTAGAAGGCTTTGATTTTAATTAATAACACTTAGGTACTACGTCGCATTATGTATAGCTATGTAGTATCAGTAGAACTGCTTTGAGAAAGAAGAGTTCGTTGCGTTCCGGTTTTGAAAGGGTGCTGGTGAAATTACAGGCACATGGGACTTGTCAAAAGGTAGCGGGTGTAGTGAGAGTACCCCTTAGATCTTTGCGATTTAAATCTCTGAGTGACAATGCAACAGTTATGGACAAGCGTGTCGCTTTCCACCAGACGCACGACTTGTTATTCTCGTCTCTTGGTAACATAAAAAATGTTTCTTACAAATAATATAAAGTACTTTTATTTTATTTTTCAGATGTTTCGGAGGACATTCCGAAGAAATCGAAAAGCAAAGTTGGCAAGGAAGAAGAAGAGCCAGAAGAAGAGGACAAAATCAAGAAATCACCAAAAGGAATCAGAAGTAAGTTTAATTGTAATAACGATTTATTTTTTGCTCAATTATGCTACAATTACTGTCAGAACGAAAGAAACAGAAAAAAAATTCAAAACAAGCCCATCGATTTTGCGTGACTCCACTGGGTTCGTGGAGTTGCAAATGTACTTCCACTTTCATCAACAAGAATATCCGCAAAGTAACACCTGAATCTAATTATTAGATCTTGTGTTAAGATAAATTAATGTGTGATTTGTTATTGAGAGTTGATATAAGTTAATAGTTTTAGTAAACTTAAAGAACTCACAGTGCGCATTTTTCGTAAAAATTATACGGGACAACATATATATTTTTTAATTGGTTCCACACTGCGTGTTATGGGTAGCGTGCCAAAGAATGCATGGTATGAATTTCGTTGCTCTGGTGCTTGTAAGACAGGAAATTCTTTGATTTGAAACCAGGTAATTTTTATTTTAGTAACAGTAGAGCTCTTACGGAGGTACTGCATTACTGCGTTCCGGTTTTGAAGGGCATTAGGGTGCGGGCGCAATTACAGGCACATGGGAGTTGTGAACTTATGCCTCACGGGGCGGTGTGGAGGTACTCCTCAGATATTTGGGATTTAAAGTTTTGAGTGACATTGCAACTATCATCGACAGTGTCGCTGACCAAAAGGCACACGACTTGTTTCGTCCCATTGCTCGATATCGAAAAAAAAATCATATTATATCATAGCTCCATCCTTATATCACTAACTTACCACTCATTCGCACAAATCGCTTTGTTTCGTCGTTTCTGACGTAAAAGGAGTGGAATTTACTACCAGAAACTTTGTCTTTGGTAAACTGTAATTTTGGAGCTTTTCAGCACTTGCGTAAAATTACAAATTATCTTCAATATTAGTCGATATAGTTACAAGAATGAGAGGATGTAGGTTATATTTTTCTTTATCTAATGGAGCAATAAACGTGTTTGACGTAACTCCACTTATACTATTCTTCCATGAGGGGTGCGATTTGATGGGAAGGAAAGGAAAGGTAGATCCGGAAGCGCATGCACCATTGTTACCGAGGTGCCACCAAGGAAACATAGAAACGATCAACCTGGTACTCCTTAAAGATACAAATAAATAATGACGATTAGTCCCGCGGGTAGTTGACACGAACTTTTCTTAATCGGTTCTGGTTGTGTCCCTGTGGAGTACCCTAATTTAAGATATTGGCGTAAGCACAATATTATCATTATTAATTATCATTATTAATTATCATTATTGATTATCGTTATTAATTATCATTATTAATTAATGGAACATGAAGCGTGAATCTTAAATAATTATAATTTACTTATAAAAAATTCAACAAAATGAAGGAAAAATCTTAATCACCGATTTCATTTGAGACGAATAAATGTAATTTTAATTCCTTTTTGTTCTTTTGATGTAAATATTCCAGAAATTTCTTTTCAGCAATATAATGTTCCAGAAATAAAAATATGTAATAAGCATTCAGCCTAATCTGTGGCTGACATATTTTTTGCAAAACATTTTTAATAACTGTGCTTATGAATATTTTTCGGAAATTGTTGAAATTGCGTAAGAAAAAAGCTGTATAAGGATTTTTATTTACGTTTGAAATTACTAGAGAAAAGCCCTATTTGGTCATTTATAATTTATAGAGTAAAAATTTATAAAATTCGAGCACTGTTCATCGCGCTCAAGACAAAATACAAAGACAAACAAAGAACAAAAGTCTGCCTTATAGCTAAATAAGAGTATCTTACAGTAACATGCAGGTGGTGCAAAAAATATACAAAGAGTTATAAACCTTTGTCAAGAAATTTAATAAAATGCATTTTTCATACAATTTCTTAATCCATCTTGCTGTAACGCTTCCGTGCGTTTTGAAATACCTCAAGCAGTAGTAGCAGTAGATATCATGGGACTTGTCAACTTGTGTCCCAGGGTGACGGGCGTAGTAGCAGTGTCCCTCAAATCTTTGCTTTTTAAAGCTCTGAGTGGCACTGTAATTGTTGTGGACGGGCAGGAAAAAAAGAGATAAAACTTTAGGATAATGCTTTATTTCATTATTACGATGTACTTTTTTTCTCTTATTTTTGGTCATTCATCCATATATACTACAGCCAACAAAAGTTCACAAGATCCACATTCAAACTTTACGCAATTTCAAAGTAAAACCTTCACAACATGCGAGACAGACTACAATAAACAATATAATTTGCATAAACCTACTGCGCGGAGTGGCTTCCCTTGTAACGTAGCGCGATGAAACATAAAAATATTTCTTTAACCAATTGTTTAAGAATTTTGCCACATAAAGGCACAAAGTTTGCTTATATTTTGTGTGCAATGTATGAGACTTTACGGCACCATTGGAAACTTTTTGGAAGCGCAATTTTTTGGACTTGAACCCACGACCTGTGTGTTCAAGTCCAAACAACAAAAGTGCTACACCGTAGCATTATTGTTACCGAGTCGTCGAAATTCTCGCATGTGTTTTTGTTATAGATCTTTGTACTCCTTTTCTCCATTCGTTCCTGCTAGTGACAGATTCTATATTTTTCATTAATCTTCTCACCACAGCTGATACCTTTACATGTACCACGACTGTCGCAGATGTCGCTTTTCGATCAAATGCATTTAATGAGATTTTTGTCAAGAATAAATTTCTTGTTGTTCAATCTTTGTATTTTACAAAAATCTCAATAAAAGAAAACTATAACAAATTAGTAGTTAATGAAGCCCTCTCCAAAAAGAATAAGAATACGTATACCATAACCGCCACATTTATCAGGTTCTATTCGAGAATAGCATGAATTATCATCCTCAGCGGTTAACACTTCGTCTTCTTACCGTATCGATGACCCACTGTTCACGCGTACACCTTTAGTTTGTTATATATACACAATCTTATTTATTTTAATGCTATTTTTATAGAAAGCAGTGTTTTCAGTTAACATTCAGTTGATTTTCGGTATAATGTAATGAGAAAACAGGGTTAATTGGTTTTATTAATACTAGACAGCATTAGTAACGTTTATGAAATTTCTGAATCGCGCTAGTAAATTTTCCTAGGCTCAGAGGTTTTGTTAGTTTTGTCAACTTGGGTTAAAATACTTCAGCTCGCCTTTTTATCCGGTGGCGCACTCAAGGCTATCAGCGGCCAGTTGCATAGTGTCCTTAAAAAAATGTTGTACCAGGAAACAGCAGTGGACTGTACAGATTTTTAGGTGCCCATACATTAATAAACAATAAATAAAGAGTTAAGGCAGGTATGACACGAAGTGAGATGGTGGAGAAGGGCCATCGTTTGAATTACATCACACAAACGATCCAGGGTCACACTCGTTCTCTGTCCGGCTCTGATCTGTCCGAACCAATTTGTTACGGGTGGCCGTACGCGCCTGGACGATTAGAGCAAAAAGAATTACGTAAATAATTGGCTCTGATCGGCCAGGTGGTGTCTGCGGCTCATTGATAGGCCCGGTACGATATGGAAGACACCGTATGGGTACATATATAAGTGAATTTTGTAATAATGTGTGATTCCAGTAAAAGCGTCTGCGCACTACGTCCGAATTTATGTACGAAATTTAATTTGAAATTTCGGTGAAGGAGAACATCGTGATAAGCCCTGCACGTCGAAAAAGGTTCACAACCCTCGGAAAATGTGTGAAGTCTCTAACTCACATTGGGCCAACGGCATGGCTGACTATGGCCTAAACCCTCGCATGGGAGACCCGTGTCCGACAATGGGATGTGTAAATGGGTTGATGATGATCAGTTAATATTACAAGTTATTTTAATATAAATTAGAGTCTAATTTGCTATACCCTGACAGGGTCCATGTGATATTATTATTTTCTTGTTAACAACTGTATTTATTCAATGGTTGCAATTAACGATATTCTTATAAACTTAGTTGATGTATTTGACGATACTGGCCTCGGAGGGTGATAATTTATTCTCGTCTAAAAAAGGCCCATATTATATTAGGAATCGAAACCACAGACAGAGAATTCCACTCCTTAGCAGACCGCATTAAGAAGGAAGAGTAGGATTAATTAACAGGTAAAGTTCGTAAGAGACGTGGAAACATGATTTGTTGGATTTTGAAGTCGTCGAAGAAAATGCATTTGTTTTAATAATACAAAGACAGGTGGGGCTACAGAGGCCCTCAATGTGCACATAGAGAAATTCGTTGAAACTGCTGACTGGATCTGTAGTTCAGTTGGTAAAAGTGATAGCCACGGTGAGACAACAAACACTGGTATGGTGTTTGTTTGATCTTTTTATCATTAATAATGACAAAACAATGGAGTATTTTCACAAAAAAAGTATGTCTTAATAGTAAAAATGTGATATTCAATAAAAATAAATAAATTAAGGACAGCTTTAAAGTAATTTTTATTAATAAGTTAAGAACCACTAAAATTAAGAATATTTTGGTAAAAAAAAGTCACAAACAAAGTATTTGATAATTACTCTTGTATTATATATTTAAAAAAGATCTAAAATAACGCTTTTCTCTTCCGTACTAAAACTAGACTTTTGACGAATTAATTTCATAGATATAAAATCTGCAAAACGTACTACGCGGTGTTAAAACGTATACTTAAACAAACACAACGTGTTTACATAAGTATTGCATAATGTTATCGACTATAATCTGATACTAAAAATACAAAGTAAATTGAGCATAATATCACGAAAATACAAATAATGATCGTGAAATCACGGTAGTACTCAATTAAAAATAAAAGAAACTCAAGAGAAATCAAAATATCAATTCGAATATCAGATTCATTTTCTAAAAGGAATGCAAAAAATTTGTAATTATCTAACCAATGATTTCCACTGCATTTATTTTCTAAACTGGCGTGTTTTCACAACATGCGTGTTAAAGAAAAACACAGAGAAAAATATGAATTTTATTAATCACTATCGGATTGACGACGAAGATGAGACTGCATGCAAAAGGCTTACAGCAAATATGTGTTAATATTGCAGT